TCTTCCAGCCAATCACTGGTTCTGGGTCTCTCGAGTCAATAATTATGACGAGAAAGTATTGTCCCAGTACAGGTGAATTCGTAACATGCATGGTATCCATAGACTTCTCTATGCTGCAGGAAATGAACTGTTTCTCCTATTGAACTGTTTCTCCCAATGAACTGTTTCTCCCAATGAACTGTTTCTCCCAATGAGCTCCAACAGTGCAACTACAGTATCTATGGACGTCTGTTTTGTGGGTGTGTGTGTGTGTGTGTGCCAGCTAGTCCGGTTGGTGGGTACACTTATGCCTGATTGTGTTGGGTCTGTTGCCAACAGGCTCGGCTGCTTGAAGGTGTATTGTTGTATCTGCCACCTTTGTTGGTTTCAGGGTTCGTATCCTTTCTATTTGAAGTATACATACCTGTTAACCATGGACTGCTTCTGGCTAGATTAACTCTTGTGTAATCAATGATGCTAGTGACGCTTAGATCAGATCCACTCTGATTTAGCCACCCACACTAGGAGCAAGTATTACCTTCACTGGGGGCAGGGGTAACTGCAGTTGGATCCCTGGACGGATACCCTGATGCCGTCAATCCTTTTTCTGCACCTTGTCCTCACCCACTTACTGAGGTGTGGTGAGCCCATAAGTGGGATCATTTTCAAGTCCACCCAGAGTTTTGGGGATTTCAGGGGGTGTCGGCCGTTGGGCGGTTCAATAGCCAGTTGAGTCATCTTTCCAAGATTCCTTTTGAGTCTCTCTCCCCTCTTCCGGGGAGACCCACGTGACCAGTTTTGGCAGTGAGCAACAAGTACAAGTACAAGTACAAGTGTGTGTGTGTGTATATGTATGTGTATATGTGTGTACATGTGTGTGCGTCCGTGCGTGCATGTGTGTGTGTGTGTGTGTGTGTGTACATGTGTGTGTGTGTGTGCGTGCGTGCGTGCGTGCGTGTGTGTGTGTACGTTCCTTATCCAGGTCAAGTTGTACTTGCACAGGTCTACTCTGGTGAAATTAAACGAATCAACGAGGCATCCAGGTACCGTTCACAGCCCTTTTTCACTATGAGTAAAAATTAGGGGCGAAACAATTATACTGAATACTCGAGTACTAGCTCGTTTTTTTCAAAAATAATCGTGCTCGGAATGAATCAGAGTACTCGTTCATACATGGTATATGCATTACCACAGAAACCTGCAGTTTCAGAGCAGCAGTCGGCAGATGTTGATGTGCAGACTGTGTGGTGAACATTTGTTCACGAGTAGAGAGAGCCCAAATGACCCACCAACCAATAATTATACCCGAGAAAAATGACTCCTACTCTGTTCAATCAGGGTTGTATCATGTGATTGTAAGGCCCTTGGTATGCAATTTTTAGGAGATGAAGAATACTCGAATACTCGAATATTCGATCAGAGAAAATCAGAGTACTCGAACTCGGGATCTCAGTGCCAACTTCACCCCTAGTAAAAATGTATCCAGTTTCAATGACAATGCTTAGCTAGGGTGATGAGTAGTGCATGGAAACCATGGAAACCCAGTGCTAGGTGTGTGCATATGGTTGCCATAGAAACCTCAAGAACCTGGCACTGAGTACTTATGCAGCTTATGTCTGAATAATTCCCCCCCCCCCCCCTGTTCTGCCTGCACCATAGTCACATGATCTTGGACATTAATTTTAAAAGTGTGTACAGGAAACAGTACTATTAGTAAGCGACGCACCTCTTGTTACCTCATCTTCATATCCAGACCTTTCAGATGTGCTCCGAGGCTGTAGCTATTTGTTTTTTTTCGAAACAAAAGAGTGCTGTCAGAGCAGAAGGCAAGTGTCTAGGTCCGGATATGGGAGTACCATATTCGGACTCTCTCTCTGCAGTCATTTATTTGCTCCGTTGCCAGCGATAACAGGGGTATAGAAGGCCGTATAGAAGTAGAGAATATGTGACCGACTCGAGTAACATCACCAGGCTATCTGTACCCTGTACTGTGTACTCTGTACTGTGCTGCTGCAGAAGTTCTCTCACATCGCCGTCTCCAGGCACAGTCTACTCGGTTGACTGTGACTTTGCCACTCTTATGAGATCGGTAGGCCAGCCCATGGGACTGATTGCCAACTGTGATGTGCAAGCAGAGGTCTGCCGATCGGCTTTCTCTACATTTTAGTGTTGTAGTGACTGAGCTGTCTGTTCTATTGATTCTAACCATACACACACTGCTGCGCTGTGCTCTAAGGAGCGAGCAACAGTTACCAGGGCCGGAGGAAAGAGTTTGGGAGTGGTCCGGCGAACCTTTGAGGGGGTCCGGGGGACCTCCCCCGGGAGAAATATTTAGAATTTACGTGAAATAGAGCGAATTTGGGCATCTCCAACGCTCCAGAAAATGCAGAAAATTATAGTAAAAGAACACAAACACAACTTTTTGTTATCCATATCAGCCATACAGTGCCGGTCACGGAGTCCTGAGCTACTTCGAAGCACATCACACGTCGGCAATACAGTCGAGTCATGTACCTCTGGATTTTTTTTACACCGGTTTTGCACGAATCACGGACCATCCAGCTGGGAAAGTGGTCCGGCCATGGCCGGACCAGCCTGACCGGTTCTGCCGGCCCTGGTTACGCAACACGAGCAACAGTTGCGCAACAGGAATGACATCTAAAACTGTGTAGGGAAAGGAAGGTGAATTGTAGGGCACGCAATTGGGCGTGATGAATACTGGGAAACACAGCTGTTCCAAGATGCATGTGGATACTACAAGTATCTACCTACTGACTATGCTCCGGCTTTGCTGAATGTTATCCGGCAGCAGCAGCAACATGATGAGCTATATCTATATTCTATACTCTTTGGTGTGTGCTTTACTCTGTGTGTTATCAGGGAAAGATCACTGGTAGGAATTCTATACCCTGCCCTGCGCATGATGATCATCAGGTCTGGATTGCACCAGACGAGCGCATGGTCTTGCCAGAGTATGTGATTGAGTTCAGCTTGAAGGATGATGTAAGGATGATAAGATGCTATAGAAAACAGTGACCTGGCTCTGTCTACCTAAAACACTAGTCTGATCATGACGAACCCGGATTTTTCCATGGTGAACACAGATTTTACCATTTTTAACCCAGTCTTTGCTAGATTTTACCATGATGAATACACATTTTACCATGTTGATCGCGGATGTTACCATGCTGAATCCAGTCTTTACCATCGGGGACGAAGGCCTGCCCATTTGAAGACAGTACTATAGAGTGCAAGATTACATATACCGGTATACGTCATGTATGGGTATTGGACAGCAACTGCAAGCACTTCTAGTTGTTTTGACCTTGCTAGACCTAAGAAGCGGAGTTGAACAGTGACTGCCGACCTGTTGATTCAAATGAAGTCCAATGTTCCATGTGTCTGTACAGAACAGACCAAGTTTGTAGCAAAATTGAAACTTCTTTTATTGTGTAGGCTAAGTTGGAACTTTCACCACTACTTCTGGAGGAGAATGCAGCACCACGTTCAAAGCTTCCGCAAGAAGAATTCCTCCTGCAACTGTCTGAGCATCTTCCACGGCCTTCAGGGTAAGTCTGAGGTGTTCTGTCCATGTCTACATATTTCTAGTAGTACTACAATAATTCAATCTTATGAATGAATTGCACCGGTGAAATGGTGTTGATATGATGTACTATGTCATGTGGACATGAGTCATTTCCTGTTGTTGCAAGTGCACTACTCTACTCCGATCAGAAAATGCGCCCATAGAGCCCGCTTAACCTCACACCCAGGTTCCCATTGTACTGTAGATCCTGGTCGTTCAGTACACGTTCATCATTTCCCTTGTTGCTACTTAGAGCCGCCAAGCGACAGCAAGAAGGGTTTCGACAGTGGACCAAGATGTCTAACCTGGCTCAAGTCACGGTGAGTCTAATCGGCTTGTCCAGCCAAAAACTGGGAATCTTGCAAAGAGGACTCAAGTGGCTATTGAACCGCCCTAAGGCCGACACCTGAAATCCCCGAACACACTCTGGGTGAACTTAGACACGATCCCACTTGTGGGCTCATCACACCGCAGTGAATGGATGTGGACAAGATGCAGAAAAATGATTGATGGCATCAAGGTATATATCCGTCCCAGGATCTAACTGAATTTGCCCCTGCCCTCAGTTAAAGTGGTACTTGATATCAGTGTGGATTGCGCAATCAGAGTGTATAGATGGCATGGAGTCTGTGTGATCCTCTCCCTTATCAATGACTTCTGATGATGACTTTGCTTGCCACTTACTTTTGTAATGACATCACTGCTTACCATTTATTTTCATAATGATATTGCTTACCCCATACCCCAATGTTCAACAGTACTCTTCGCAGCCTCTTTTGCAACACATAATGGCACAGTATGCAGCCACCGTTTTCTTTTTTCTTTACTCTATTTCACGCACTTAAGGCTTTCTTCATTCAGCTCTATTTCACGCACTTACCTAGGGTACCCTGTAAAAAGACTCACAGTCTGTGGGGATTGCCCTAGTAAAATAATAAATACTACTACAGTAAAACCTGTAACTAACGACCACCCCTTGGTGCCAGCAAAAGCGGTCTTTAGTGGCAGGTGGTCTTTAGTTAGAGGTTTGCACTGCGCGACCATATATGGATTCCGTATATATGTATGTCAAAATGCAGCTAATACGATTCCCCAGAACTTGCGCAATGCCATTCTTTTTTCAGGTCAAACAACACTTGGAGAGAGAGAGACCAGAGACGGAGAGAGACAGGGGGAGAAGACTACTTTTTGCAGACATCAAATTCAGCTGCTACTTCTGAAACCAGGAGTCAAACGTTCCCTGTAGAAGTTTCGTTTTACGCTGGGCTTCAATTTTTTCATGTGATCAATCGTACCGACTGTCCTTGTTGTAACTTCTCGATTGCATGAACGCGATCCTTCAGCATCAGGACCTTGCGGTGCTGCTTTGTTTCTGGATTCCTTGATGCCATCGTCGATTCGTCTGTATGACTGGGGTGTCAGAGCCGCTCTGTCTTCGTTTCTCCTCCGAGTAGTAACATCGATCAGAGAGCGCTTTCGATGCGCTCTCCAAGACGTTTCCTATCGTGTTTATTCTTGACAGAGCTTGAAATTTGGACAGGTGTAGTGCAGTCCACACCGATTCCACAGTCAAAATGACCTGTGTTCATTTGTTCAGCTGTAGTATCGAAAGAGTCCTTTCAGGACCGTGGAAAATCAGCAAATTTTCAAGAAGGAGCTTCGAGCAACATTTGATTTCGTACATCGCGGTCGCTACTTACGGGTCAATAATCGTCTTTGGGGCAAGAAAAGGCGGTCGCTGGTCGCGTTCAGCAGGTAGTCGCTAGTCACAGTGGATTTTGAATATGAGACCGTCCGTGCCTGGCGAAGTGGTCGGTAGTACCAGGCTGGTCGCTAGTCACGGTGGTCTTTAGTTACAGGTTTTACTATGGGGAGGCCCCAGCCAGCAGGCCAGTACTACACGACCCCAAACAAGTCACCCAGGCACTCAGGTCACGTCGTACTATGAAAACCGGCCCAAGCGCTCTGATCAACTACAGGGAGGATCCCGCACAAAATGTTGCGCTTTGTATGTAGGAAATGTCAATAGTGGGTGCACATCAGAATCGATCGCCAAATGGTGTGAACGCCGAAATATACCTGTCATCAAGTGCTCCGTGTCTGAGACAAAGTACTTCGGGTTGGCCTTTGCTCACGTAATTCTGCCAATACAACACAAAGCTACTGTTCTGGAACCGGAATTCTGGCCTTCAAACGTCAGAGTTCGAGAATGGCGCTTCAAGGCTGACAGTGTAGCAACTGGTCGAGCTGCAGAGGAGCACTAAATGTTCTGTTTAAATCCTCACGCAGCCCCCTTTCAACCCTTAAACCCTCATGCACCTATCTTTCAGCCACGAAATAGTTGCCCCACTGTAAATCCCCTGCAGCATGAATTAATTAAAAGTAACCTCAAAATAGGATTCCTAAATGCTTGCCATCTTCTCAATAAAAAGCATGACATTGAAGATTATATTCTTTCCCATAAAGTTGATATAATGATGCTGGCAGAGACTTTCTTAACAACCTCCGTTTCCGATGACATCCTACGCATACAGAATTACACCCTGGTCAGACGCGACAGGCCAACTCATGGCGGAGGCTTAGCAGCATATGTAAGAGATCATCTCCGAGCCCGAATTGTGAAGGCTGACACCCAGGTGGAAATGCTCATGTTAGAGGTCAGTGGGCAGCGTTCCAAGGTTCTCCTTGGTGGTGTGTACCGTCCTCCAGGCACTCCTGTGCAATTCTGGCAAGACTTGACGAATGCACTAGACACTGTCATCTCCACACTTCCCACATCACCTCTGGTCCTTGTTGGAGACTTCAATGTCGATGTAAGCTCCCGCGACAGCCCCCAGCTAAACAGCTTGCTGCACCTGTGTAATTCTTTCGACATCAAGAACCAAGTGGACAGTCCTACCAGAATTGGACCCCAAGGCAGCCAAACAACCCTGGATCTCGCTCTGGTCGGAGACGATCATGTGAACTCTTGTGTCGTAGTACCTTGTACAATCAGTGACCACTTCGCTCTGGCACTTGATTTGCGACTCACAACGTCCTGCACACCGACCGTGCGACGTGGCCGTAACATTGCAAGAATTGATATGGGTCAATTTGCACACCACCTTCTAAATAGCGATCTAGAGAACTTCTGCTTTGCGCGGACAGAAGATGAAATGTGGGATATGTGGCTGGAGAAACTTGTCGCGGCCTTGAACACTCATGCTCCTATCCGTCTACACCGCCCAAGAGCTCCTACCCGGAAATCCTTCCCCTGGAAGACGCCAGCTCTACATGACCTAGTCCAGCGACGTGACGCGGCCCATCGACGGTGGAAAGCATCACCTGCAGACCCGGCACTACGCAATGTCTTCACTTCTGCCCGAGACGAAGCCAAGCGTATGTCACGACATCTCCGAGCCATCTACTTTAGGGACCTTCTTGCTGCTAGTCAGGCCAACGCACGAAAAACCTGGCAGACCATCAACTACCTCAGCGGTCGTAACAAGTCCTCAGTTCCACCAGCCGTCAGTGTCTCACAGCTCAGTGACCAATTCAGCGGTGTTGTGTCAGACCCAACTAGACCACTACGTCTCTCAGCCCCATTGGGTCCCACGAAGAAGGAATGCCTCGAAGAATTTGCTCCAGCAAGTGTGCAAGAGATCGCTAAGCTGCTCTCCAACATCGACGTGCGCAAAGCTGCAGGCAGCGACCAGGTTCCAGCTGCAATCCTCAAACACTGTTCTCCTGTCCTTGCACCGTCCCTCACCATACTAATCAATGCATCTCTGGCTTCTGGTGTTGTTCCTGCATCTCTGAAGATTGCGGATGTTCGTCCCCTCTTCAAGTCAGGCGACAAAGCTGTCGCTAAGAACTATAGACCAATATCGTTATTACCAATAGTTTCCAAAGTCCTAGAACGGGTAGTCCACACGAGACTCTGTAAGTTCCTCTCCGGAAATTCCTTGTTCCCCGCAAACCAGTTCGCATATCGCCCACTTCACTCCACAGAAGATGCCCTGACATTGGCTGTAGACAGATACTTGGAGGCAGCGGATCAGCAGCGCCATACAGGTCTTGTACTTGTCGATATGAGCAAGGCCTTCGATAAGGTCAAACACCAAATTTTGGTTACAGATCTATTTCAGCTTGGTATTACCTCAACGGCTCTCAGTTGGTTCATGAGCTACCTAACTGACCGCCGTCAGCGAGTCGTCCTGAGCAATGGCCAGTCGTCCGCCCTCTCTCCCTGTGAGTGTGGTGTTCCTCAGGGAAGTGTGCTGGGTCCTCTTTTGTTCTCCATCTACACAATGGAAATAGAACAGATCACAGCTCCAGCCCACTCACAGCTGTTTGCTGATGATATCCTGCTAGACGCCATCAGTCAATCCGTCGAATTCTTAAATTTAACCCTCTCCCGTTCAGTCTCCAACCTGGCCAACTTTCTGGAAGAAAGAGGCTTAATACTAAATCCCTCCAAAACCCACGTTCTAGCCCTTCATGCGTCTCGCAGGCAGCCCTTGTTACTTAACATAGAATGCAATGGAAATCCCCTAGCTCAGACCACAAATGCTCGATATCTAGGTCTACATCTCGACACCCAGCTTCGGTGGGAGACTCAAGTTGCAACTATTACACGGAAGACCTCCCAGAAACTGACGGCGCTGCGAGCCATTCGCTCCTGCTTAACTGAGCAACAAGCCCTGCTATTTTACAGATCGTTAATACTACCGGACATGTTGTATGGATCTAATGCCTTCTTCTCGGTTCTCTCTGCGCACCAACGGCATCAGCTTTCGGTCCTCGACAAGCGATGTATCCGCTGCGTTGCCAACCAGCCATTCCCCTCCCACACAGATCCCATCTACACCCGTCTAGGCCTCATCCCCATCATCCAAAACGCCCACTGTAAACTCCGCCTCCTCATGCTTCGTATCCACACCGCCAGAATTAGTAATCTCCTGTCCAAGCGCCTACGTCGCCAGACTGAAGGCGTCACTCGGATCAACGATCCAAATGCGTATGTTGTCCCTGCCACCAGGCGAGTCTCTGGTGACTGTCGGCCGCTCGTTTCTGCTGTTAAATTATGGAACGCCCTGCCCCAAGAGTTCAAGTCCCTCGCCTGCCATAGATCATTCAAGAGACTTTTAAAGGTTTATTTTTATGGTTAGCCAGCATCTAGGCTTGGACTTGGAGTCGTGACTCAACTGTGACTCAACTGTGCTTTCTTCTTCTTTCTTTTTCTTTTTTTCCCTTTCTCTTTTTTCTTTTTGAGTATTTGCAGTCTGTGTTTTCTGTGTTTTTCTCTCTTTCGTGGAGGCTTGCTTGTTGTATCCTTGGCTCTCGACCGTTACTTTATCGCCATCATAATATAGGGCACCATTGCCCGTTTGGTCTGCGATACAAAATAAAATTTCAACTGTACTACTACTACTACCACTGATTTTATGACGTCGTTCCATACCAATGATGATGCCGTTCCTTACCAATGATGACGCCGCTCCTTACCAATGATGACGCCGTTCCTTACCAATCATGACGTCGTTCTTTACCAATGATGACGTCGTTCCTTACCAATGATGCCGTCGTTCCTTACCAATGATGACGCTGTTCCTTACCAATGGTGACGTCGTTCTTTACCAATGATGACGTCGTTCCTTACCAATGATGACGCCGTTCCTTACCAATGATGACGCCGTTCCTTACCAATGATGACGCCGTTCCTTACCAATGATGACGCCGTTCCTTACCAATGATGACGTCGTTCTTTACCAATCATGACGTCGTTCTTTACCAATGATGACGTCGTTCCTTACCAATGATGCCGCCGTTCCTTACCAATGATGACGCTGTTCCTTACCAATGGTGACGTCGTTCTTTACCAATGATGACGTCGTTCCTTACCAATGATGACGCCGTTCCTTACCAATGATGACGCCGTTCCTTACCAATGATGACGCCGTTCCTTACCAATGATGACGTCGTTCTTTACCAATGATGACGTCGTTCCTTACCAATGATGACGCTGTTCCTTACCAATGATGACGTCGTTCCTTACCAATGATGAGTGTTTTTTACAGTACTCGTACCCAATAGTTCCAAAAAATCCACAAACTGCTTATCATGTGTGTCTGTGTGCTTCCAAATTCGGGGATGGGTGTCAAAAAGGCAAAGGTCAAAGCTGTGTGTATTTGAAAGTACTGTTTTCACATGTCAAACTTGGTAATATATTGAGCAGCACATGTACTCTCCTGATGTGACATCACTGCAAGAGTACATAACCCCCCTCTTGATCACACATACCGGTACAAGAGGCATGGTTTGACTTTCCCTCTTGATCACTGTCGTTCTCCAAAAACGGCCAAAATTCAATCCTGATGGGGCCAAAATTCCAAAAAAATTCAAAGTGCGAAAATCCAACCAAAATTCAAAAATAATGGAAAACATTTTGTGGACAAGCCTAATGATGACGCTGTTCCTTACCAATGATGACGTCGTTCTTTACCAATGATGTTATATTTCTCGCCGGCCGAGCGGAGCGAGTGAGGCAAGAAATGACTTCTCACGCAACAAAATTATTTCTCTGGCGAATATGGAATCTGATGTGTTCTCTTTTTGTTGCTGTTCTTTTTGCCCGACTTCTCAGTCAGTTTTTTGTGTCTCACCAGTGTCCCCACCCTCCCACCCTTCATGTCTGCCCATCTTGTTCCCTTTCTTTCTTGGCTGTAGATAATGTTGTGCCTGTTTTTATGCTGCCATGTTGCCACTTGGGGTTATACACCCAGTTTTTTCCCTCATTGTTGCATCCGTCAGCGCGAGGGGTTTTTTCCCGGCTGGCTCGGTCCAGAGAAATTAATCTGACCGTCCGAAGTGGTGCTTGTCCTGGCCTAATTATGTTAGGTGAATGTACTCATTCTTTCCTCCTGGGGTCTCTCCCCCTGCTTTTGCTCCTAGTTTTCTTCTGCATTCCGGTTCACATCTGGCTGCGGCCTACTACCCTCACTCTGTGTGCTCCTGCCTCTGTTGTCTGGGTCCATGTCGTTATGTCGGTGTACGTGGAGCGAGAAGACGTCGTTCCTTACCAATGATGACGTCGGTCCTTACCAATGATGACGTCGGTCCTTACCAATGATGCCGTCGGTCCTCACCAATGATGTCGTCGGTCCCTACGAATGATGACGTCGTTCCTTACTAATGATGACGCCGGTCCTTACTAATGATGACGTCGGTCCTTACTAATGATGACGTCGTTCCTTACCAATGATGTCGTCGGTCCTTACGAATGATGACGTCGTTCCTTACTAATGATTACGTTGTTCCTTACCAATGATGACGTCGGTCCTTACTAATGATGACGTCGTTCCTTACTAATGATGACGTCGTTCCTTACTAATGATTACTTTACTTGTTTCGTACCCTGTAGGTACTGGATTTGAGCTTCTGTCAGCTGGAGCAACTGAACGGTGTGACTAGCCTGAAGAGTCTGAAGAAGCTGGTCATCAATGGAAACCTCCTGTCTGAACTACCCAACGGTTTACACTCTTTGGTAAGTGTGTTGTGCCAGTGCAGTAGCACACGCATGATCAGCCTTGTCTGCCACACTGCTGGTGTGAATGTGCTGCTGCCACCTCTACTGTAGTGTAAATGTTCTGAGCCATGTTCTGTATGGCCCTTGGACCCAGCCAGTATGACACTATGGTTAATGGAGATGGATGGACACATGGAGTCACTATGGAATGAATATACGAGTGTGTTTGCTGCTGCTGCTGCTGCTGCTTCCACCGCCGTTGCCGCTGCTGCTGGTGATGTTGCTGCTTCAGATGGGTCTGGAGGAGGTATATGCTGACTTCAATGTCATTGGCAAGCTGCACAAGATACCAGTAAGGCACTACTTGTTTTTCTTCTTTTTTCTCTTTTGTGTCTCGGGTACATCCCGGGAATTTTTTTGATGGCTGTGAAAACAGTCGAGAGAGCTAAAATGGCTCTGAAAACAGTATAATATGGAGGGATAGCAAATCGGGTGAAAAACTACTACTAGGCGTCCCCTCACGTCACTGTTAGTTGCCAGTTTGTGCATGCTATGAAATAGCATTCTTATGTTACCAGTAACTACACCATTGAATTTAACCATAGCTTCTTCATCTTTCGTCTTTACAATCAGTTCTATTTGTGCAGAAGACAATATGGTTTACAGTCCGTTTCAAAAAGATTTACAACCCTGGCGATCGCCCGCGGAGTTTGGCGTCTTACCGTATGAGCACTCGAGCGCTGCCTGGAAAAACTCACTGTGAACTCGAAGAAATATTCCGCGCGAAAGCAGGAAAGATGACAACTCACTCACGTTGACACAGTCATGGACGTACGTCTGGTTTACAACAAACGAGTTCTTCCTCGTATCGATAATGGAGTCAAAGAGGACATGTCGAAACGAAAGTGTTGTGAATGTTGACGAGCTGCATGGGTCCGTTTTGTGACCAAAATAGTTTCTTTGAGCTGCGATGCAATTTACTCACCGTGTGACGAAAACGACATCGACACGGACTCATTCCCAAGGCCATGACTTGGCAAAGCTATCCGTGTGACTTCGACGACATTTTGAGAAAAGCAAACGCTTGTGAACGCTGATAGAAGACGGCATTGACTGCTAAATTCAAATAAATTGGCGATCTTGAAAAACTAAAATAAATCTCAAAAAGCTACAACGCGATGACTTCCATTATAATTCACTCACACCATTGCAGTGTTGTGGGTGTGTTCACATGGCGTGAGCCAGTCAAGTGTCAGTCTGTTCGGCAGGAAGCGCGAGCTCCAACAACAAGTCGTTTGGTGCAGCCACCTTCTTTGTCTTGTACCAGCTTGATCACCAAAACAATGAAAAAAAGTTTGACGTGAGGATAGGTTGGGATTTGAACTCACAACTTCATGGTCAGCAGACAGCATTCATAACCACAAGGCC